TTTTACATTTGTCTGTGGATATCCAGGGCTCACGTATGAGATTACTAACAAGCATTACTGAATAATCAGATGAGGGACAGTTTGTTATGTCTACTAGGTAGCTAGAGTCTGATCCTCAGAGCCTATGGTTTGGACGGTCAACAACGCTTGGGCCCACAGGGGCTTGGCCTCCTGACCAGGTCTGTGCTTAACAATATATTTTTAAGATTCATTCCTGTTGAAGAGTATTTGTTGTTGTTGTTAAATGCTATTGATTTGGTTCTGACTCCGCAACCCTGAGTAGAATTAGGAGGAGCAGCTGGTGGGTTTGAACTGTCAACCTTGTGGTTAGCTGTCTTACAGCACCACACCAGGACTTTGCTACAGAATATGTTGTTAAGTGCCGTCGAGTCAGTTCCAACCCATAGCGACCCTGTAAAGGGTTTCCAAGGAGCGACTGGTGAGCTTGAACCACCATTCCTGCTGTCCAAACTGATTTTGCAGTTTAGCTTATTAACCCACAGCACCACAGAATATAGCTATAATTAATTCATTTTCAATGCTACAGGGTATCCATTTATCTTTTATTATACTGGATCTGGAGTCCTGGTGTGGTGCTGTAGGATAAGCACTGGACTGCTAACCACAAGTTTGGCAACTGCAAACCACCAGCTGCTCCTCTGAAATCCTATATAGGGTTGCTATTAGTGAGAACTGACTCGACGGCACTTAGCAACATCAACATACTGAATATAATCTACCGCTAACCCCATTTATTGGGTTCTCATTATTATCATACTTTTCAGTTCTAAGATTTCAACTTGGTTCATCTTGTCTATTTTTTTTTAACATATTAATCACTATCATTTTCAAGTCTGTGTCTGATACCTTGGGTCATCCAGTTGCAGTGGTGTATTTCCAATGTTTGTTTTTTCCCCCCTCTTGGTCCTCTTTCTTGGTATACTAGATCATCAGTGATCCATCACTTAAACCTGTATTTATCAATCTCAGAATCCTCCTCAAGTGTCAATAAAAAGGAGATGCCAGCAATAAAAATATGTAAAAATAAAACCAATTCATAGATCACAACTAATACTTACGTGTTTCCATTCATGTAGATAAGGAAGATATATTTTCCCATTTGCATCAACATGTTTTCCTGTTTTAATAGTCATTGAACTAGTAGGCTTAACAAAACAGATAGGGGGATTGTATGGATACGTGTCCAGTAGCCACAAGCATATTGGAATGTTGTATGTATTACCTGCAAGAAAGAGAAATTTCAGTTACTCTATTTTTATTATGTTGCAATCTTAACAAGAGAGAGCTAGCTATACCAAGTACTTTTTTGTTTTTTTAACAAGTATTTTAGGGCATTTGTTTGTTTCAAAATTTTATTTAATACAAGTTTCTCATATTTTCACTTTGTAAAAGACATCAGTGGGATTAAGGAGCTAATAGATCACAAGGATCTATTGGGTCAAAGGATCTGATAGCACTAATACACTAACATAAATCATATGAAAATTGAGCATTTTTACAATAACTATTTGAATTGCTTAATGATGTAAAGATGTATTTTTCCACAGAAGCAATTTCACTACATACAAGGAAGCACACATAAACTTCACTTAACGAAATTAGAGAACTGCAGAACTTTGGGTTTACTTTTTTATCCCAGAGTAATTCTAAAATGGGGATGAAGGGGGTGTCAATAGACTATCTTATATAATAACATAAAACAAGTTATTCCCACTACCCAGAATTCTTTGATTTGTGTAAATGAAGAATTTTCTAAAACTACTTAGTCTTGGGAACTAAGCAATATAAAAATGGTTAAGTAAAATGAAGCTTAGTTTAGATATAACTAAGAGCATATGTAATAAATGTTTTTAATTATGTCTTCCATAGTTTTCTGCTCCCTCCCCCAAAATATATAAGGAGGATTGAAATTTTTTGTGGAAAAATTCCATTATCTTTTATTCCTATTTTTCAGAAAACTTTGTGAAGCCCCTTGGTACACACAAACCCATTTATTTCCCTTATCAGAGTTCATTCCTTAAAGCAAAGACAGGATTGATAACCTTGACCTTTATTCAATACATTCTAACTTATCATATTTGCTTTATATAATGTTGATGTTGTTAACTGCTGTCGAGTCGATTCCAACCTATAACGACCCTGTATAGGGTTTCCAAGGCTATACTCAGTGTTTTTTTCCCCCTCTCTCTGGAATGTCCATTCTGTTATATATGGCCAGCTCATCCTTTTATACTTACCCAATGATGCTGCCGCTTTGCCGATCCATCTTGCTGGGTGGGATCTTCCTCTTTTTCTCTGACCCTCCACCCTACTAAACTTGATATCCTTCTCCAGCGACTGGTCCCTCCTGACATTATGTCCGAAGTATGAGAGATAAAGTTTGGCCATCCTGGCCTGCAAGGAGCACTCTGGCTGCACTTCTTCCAACACAGATCTGTTGGTTCTTTTGGCAGCCCGTGGCACTTTCAATGTTCTCCTCCAACAGCATAACTCAAAAGCATCAATTCTTCCACAGTCTTCCTTATTCACTGTCCAGTTTCGCATGCATATAAGGTTACTGAAAATACCATGGCTCGGGTCAGGTGCACTTTAGTCCTCAAGCTGACATATTTGCTCTTCAACACTTTTAAAAGGTCTTGTGTAGCACATTTGCTTAATGCAATACATCCTTTGATTTCTTGGCTTCTGCTTCCATGAGTGTTGATACTTGATCCAAGAAGAATGAAGTCCTTGACAACTTTAATCTTTTCTCTGTTCATAAGAATGTTGTTTATTGGCCCAGTGGTGAGGATTTTTGTTTTCTTGACATTGAGATGTAATCCATACCGAAGGCTGTGCTCTTTGATCTTCATAAGTAAATGTTTTAAGCCCTCTTTACTTTTAGCAAGCAAAGTTGTATCATCAGCATACTGCAGGTTGTTAATGAGTCTACCTCGATCCTGATGCCACATTTTTCTTCATACAACCCAGCTTCTAGGATTATTTACTCAGCATATAGTTTGAATAAGTATAGTGAATGAATACAACCCTGTGGCACACCTTTCTTAATTTTAAACCATTCAGTGTTCCCATGTTCTGTTCAAACAACTGCCTCTTGGTCCTGGTACAGATTCCTCATGAGCCCAATTAAGTGTTCAGGAATACTCATACTTCGCCATGTTGTACATAGCTTGTCATGATCCACACAATTGAAAGCCTTTGCGTAGTCTCTGCTTTCAGTCAAGATCCACTGGACATCAGCAATGATAGTTCTCATTCCATGTCCTCTTCTAAATCCAGCTTGAATCTCTGGAAGTTCTCTGTCAGTGTATGCTTGCAGCCGTTTCTGTATTACCTTTAGTAAAACTTTACTCGCATGGGATATCAAAGATATTATCTGATGATTTCCGCATTCCACTGGGTCACCTCTCTTTAGAATAAGCACAAATACGGATCTCTTCCAATCAGTTGGCCAAATAGCTGTCTTCCAAAGTTCTTGTCATAAATGAGTGAGTGCCTCCAGTGCTGCCTCACTTTCTTGAAAGATTTCAATTTTTAGTCCATCAATTTCTGGTGCCTTGTTCTTTGCCAATTCTTTCAATGCACTTTGGAATTCTGTGTAATCTCATAGTACCTTTGTATTTTATCACTCTATAAACCAAAAAGCCACCGCCATGGAGTCATTCCAATTCATGGCAACTCTGTATAGTTTTTGAAGCTGGAAATCTTCACAGTTTTAGAAAGCTTATCTTTCTCCAGCAGAGCAGATGGTAGGTTAGAAATGTCAACCTTGTCATTAGCCGGCCAGTGCTTATCCTACAACACTACCAGGGCTCCAATTCACTCTATTAAAAAAAAATTCAAACCCGCTGCCATCAAGTTGTCAAGCGGCACATGGCTGGTCCAGGGACACAATGCTAGAAAAGCTCCCAAGCAAGATGGCCAGTACTGGCCCGCACCTGCAGGCACAGCATGGGGTTAAGAGTGGGCAGAGAAGAGCTGACACGACCCACAGGGGCATAAGGGGGTGATATGGGTCCCCTGCCATGCCAAGGTACACAAACAATGGGAGGAGCACACACACCAACCTGAGTCCCATGCCGGTCTGCCTGGGTGAGACCCTCCCCCAGCTTGGCAGGGGTAGACATTTTCTGTGGTAAATACTATAAATATCTATTTGTTCCCTCTGTATCTTCTAGTAGAGTGAGTTTTCCCAGAGACATCCTTATTTATTTTGTATCTATACCCCCTTATTGCTATGCCTCAGGTCTAGCAGGTACTTTGTAAAATTCAATGGTAAAAAGTTACTGGGAAACAGGTCTTAACTAGTCATTAACAAACACAACAGTCTCCTCATGAAGCTGAATGGTTCATTTACTACTTACCCTCTAAGTATTCTAGCACCAGATCGCTGACTAATATTTCTTTTATCACCAACACTACAACCATAAATAGCAGCTACAGTCTGTTGTTTGATTATTGTATACCAGACTTTGTGTTAAGCCCTTTACACATTATCTTAATACAATTTCATTTCCCTTTAAACTGTTGTTGTTGTTAAGTGCCATCGAGTTGATTTTGACCCATAGTGACCCTGTATAGGGTTTGAGGAACAGCTGGTGAGCTTGAACCACTGACCTTGCAGTTCAAATGGCTCTGCAGTCTGGCATATTAACCCACAGCGCCACACCAGGACTCCCTTTAAATTAGGTATTATTATATCCAAACATAGATGCTGACAGTCACAAAACTGGTAGATTACAGAACAAGAACTCAGACCTAGCTTCAGTTTGAAACCTCTGTCTTACCCTCTATACAGCTTCCCATTGTCAGAAAAGTCTGAATGGCGCAGAAGGCTTAGTAAGAAGTCCCTTTCTACTTATAGTATTCTGATTCCTCCCATACACTTAGGTATTTATTTGTATATACACCTTGGTAAGAAAAGGGAAAAAAAGTTGGAAAGGTTAACCACCTCCACTAAATGGAGATTAGAAGTTAAAATCTCTGCATCATCATGAAAGTAAGTAATGAAAATGTAGGTATAATTTATTTATAACTCTTAGGCAAAATATTACTATGTAAAACAATGCATTCCTACTGGAAATGTAAATGACAAAAGATATTTATTTACCTCTATAAGGCACAGGAATTGTTCCAGTGAGGTTCATTAGCTCCCTAGAACTGCCGTCATTAAAAACTGAAATGAAAGAATAATTTAATCATTAGCATTTTCAAAGATAATCCCTTATAAGTTATTCTTTCAGATACACTGGTAAAACTCACTATTCACCTTAAAAGGGCTAACTAATTAATGTACCATCATCCATTTGCACAATGACAAAATATCCTTTGTTGATGCACTCAATGGAATCAGCTTTTGAATGAGAAGAGATGCTTTAAGTTACTTGGAAAAATGGATCTGAATGCTATCATTCCAGCAAATATGAACTCTGGGTCCCCATGATGATAAAACTATTTTAAAATCACCATCAAATGACACTATATTTATAACAGCCTAATAGTCTTTATACTTGAGGTTTCTTAAACCTTTATTACCACTCACTGTCATCTCAATTCCAATGCAGTATTAAACCTCAGTATTAAAAAGAAAAAAGTTTTTAGTGAAATACAGACATTTTATATATAAACATTTCTTATACAAGTTTTTCTATTTATAATTGACCGATTGTTTTTATTGTTATATTAGTTAGAACAAATCATCTGCATTACACGGACTGCTACTATTTGTAACAATGATTTAAAGTTAACACTGCATCAAACAGGGAAAAGGGTGTACTGGGCAGCACAAGAACTTAAACTCCACTTTGGTTTCTGTTCTCTAGCTACTGTTAGTAATTATAAATGATACTATAATATATTCTAATTTTGGGCTAAGTTTTTAAATTGACTTTAATAATGGAATTAGGTTTTTACAAGAATTCTACATACCATCCTACAGTAGAATACTTTATTCTAATTTAACAATGTGGACAGGTAGGTTGAAATGCTGGGGGAACTATGCCATAGTTTTAGGAGAGGGCTTTCGTTCTGGAAATGCAGAGTTGAGTAGCCCGACACAGCCTCCCATCTGTCTTCACCAGGCTCCAAAGATTCTCAAAGTCTAGAAGTGGGTGGAGTTAAGTATGCTAGTCTAAAGGAACTTCAAATTTACTTCATTGCCCTCTGAGTCAATCATAATAGGCAGGAGGCAGCATGGGGTTTGCTGTAGCCTTCACACATTATGTATTTTCAAGGAGAGAGGGTTGAAGAGACTTATGTTAGGGTCTTTGGGTACAGAAAAGGTTATTTAAAAAAAAATCAATTCTAAGTAATATCATTTCTTACTCAAATCTCAACTTTATTTTGTCTCAAATATAAAAAATGGACACACTGCCACCTTTATACCATACATCTTTAATTGGACCACATTAGAACATGTTTTCCTCATCTGTAAAATGAATGGGATAGTCCAGAGTATATAGTTTCACAAAACATATTACTGAGAACATAAAAAAATGCTCTGGGGGGGAGGGGGGTAAGATGGGAATTTAATAGTCAAGTAACTTCAGGATATTACCATACAATATATTCTCTTCTTTCCCATCTTGGTGATATACAATATACCAGCATATTAAAGGCTCAGAGAAATCTTGCTGCAAAGAAACCTATTCAATTTTGTTTGATTTAGAACTGCTCAAACTTAATCACAGAACTTTCCCTGATGAAGCAACATTCTTCAAAGCTAGGGGTCTATGTATAGTATTTTGGGAAAGCATGACTTAACTGTCTTTAACATATCCTGGAAGCCTAAATTTGTATAATTTGTTATAGTACTTTAAAAGTCTTAAAACATTAAACAAATATTAGACCTTAATCTCTCAAACTCTTTAGGTGGAAGTACCACCTTAAAATTGTAAAACCAGTAAACTCAAAAGGAAAATGGGAAATTCACAATCACTAATAAAAAGAGTACACTCAAAGTACATTAATTGACATTTTTATTATATAAACTCACCATATGAATCCAATAGAGGTTTGAGATCTTTGTATACAGTAATAACACTGACAGTTTCACGTACAGTTAGGTCTCTGTATTTGTACTGAAAAGCAAAATCACATAAAAATTTAGCTTAAAACCAATGCACACATTTTACTGCCATTTTAATGTCTTAATATATTTTCTTCATAACCCTTTACTTCATAGTACAAAAGTATAATGTTGTTGTTGTTAAGTGCTGTTGAGTCAGTTCTGACTCATAGCGACCCTGTCACAGGGTTTCCCAGGGGTGGCTGGTTGGTTTGAACTGCTGACCTTGCAGTTGGCAGTCCAGTGTTTATCCTACAATGTCACACACCAGGACTTCACAAGAGCATAATGTTCTCACTAACCATTAACATTAATTAGGCCCCAAGAACCTAATAGGTTTCTCTCCTGCCACCTATTGGAACACTATACTTAAACTATTTTATCTCCATCATTCCAGCTCTTCTCTCCAACCTAAAAGACGCTCCAACAAACCAAATTTTAACCAATCTCACACTGCACTTACATAAATTAATTCCCAGACTTTCTTTTAGCCCCTCCCTCATCTTTCCTTTTCATCCAAGTTCCAGCATTTATTGCCATTATCAATTCTGTTCCAATTATCATCCGCTGTCTTATATTTTCACACCCCCGACCTTATAACGCTTAACTCCAGGAAAACTACTAGCCTGGTTAACAGACATCCAGCAAGAGATTAGGAGATCAGTGATCTCTAAATGATCAGAATGCTTCATCCATGCATTCAAGTTTTCATTCAGATTTTAGCGCTCCTTTCTTAGCTACTCCATCCCTCATCTGTCAATCTGTTCTATGGTGGCATGCATGTTGCTGGAAATTATGCTACCAATATTTCAAATACCAGCAAGGTCACTAATGTGGACAAGTTTCAGTGGCGCCTTCAGACTAATACAAACTAGGAAGAAGAATCTGGCAACCTATTTCTTAAAAAATTAGCTAGAGTACTCTATGAATAGCCGTGGAACATTGATAGAGAGCTGGGAGACCCCTCAGGCTGCAAGATATTCAAAATACAAATGTGGAAGAGCTGTCTCCTTAAAGTAGAATCAACCTTAATGATGTGGATGGAGCAAAGCTTCCAGGAACAACTCAAAATGAGACAGCTGCAAACATTTATCTATTAATTGGAACATGGACTATAGAAGTATAAATCCAGGAAAACTAGAAGTATCAAAATGAAATGGAATACTTGAAGGCATATGTCCTAGGCATTGTTGTTGTTAAGTGCCGTCAAGTCAGCGACCTTGTATATAGGGTTTCCAAGGAGTGGTTTGTGATCTTGAACCGCCAACCATGCAGTTCAAACAGACACTGCAGTCCAGCATATTAACCCACAGCGCTACATCAGGACTCCTAGCCTAGGCATTGTTGTTGTTGTTGTTGTTATGTGCCATCGAGTCAGTTCTGACCCATAGCGACCCTGTACAGGGTTTCCGAGGGTGTAAATCTTTATGGGAGTAGAAAGCCTCATCTTTCTCCCGC